TATACTGAACCACATTGAAAACGTAACTAATTGTGCAAATACGAAACTATTGAATTAAAAAAAAAACAATTTTTTTGGAACGCTTATTAGGTTAGAAAAACATCAAATTATGATAGAAAGTCTAATAGTCGCATTTTTCATGTCGCTTAGTATAGAAAGAATTGGAGAAATAAATAGTTTTTTTGGTGCAAGTACCTAAAATACAGTTTTTGCGGACGAATTGTTTTCGCACAAGGCGAAGCCGAGTTGTTATAAACAACATTTTTTTCTTAAAAGCATTTTAAAAACATATTTAAACCTGTTATTATTTGGTACGATTTAGTTGTCAAAAATAGTGGCTAATAATAAAAAATTGTTTGTAAAATAGGTATTTTAAACTCATGAAGGTTAGCCTGTTTTTTGGTACGAATATTGCAAAACATATACATAACCAAAAATTGTTTGGTTTATTTATTTTGAAATAATAATAAATAATAATTTTCTATACAAAAATCAATCAAAACCGGAATTTTATAGTTTGTAATATACTAAGTGACACTAAAAATGTGTACACAAAAATATACTCATTCACCTCAAAAATGTACCATCTGTGGGTATTGTGAAAATTATTTGTATGATTTTATTATTTTTGTAGAAAATTAATTTTAAAYAAGAATTGAAATCTAAGGAAAAAATTGTTTTATAAAAGAAATATATCTTTTTAAATGTACCTAATAGATAAACTCACGTKCTTAAAAAAAATAAARATTATACTTAGAAAAACAACAAATAAAAAAACATTGWTTTTAGTTAACTTTTTTGCGATGTATATTATAAAATATAAACTGGATGACACTAGAAATGTAACTTAAAAACAAATATACAGAGTGTCCCAATGAAAACGAGCCACCACGATTATCTCGGAAAAAAAGGCCTAAACAGGTCAATTTTGTTTTCAAGGGGGACATTTTTTTCCAAATTTTTGCTAAGGTGTTTCGTTTTTATTAGAACACCCTGTATCTCATGGGGTTACTGGGGGTGTTTTAAAAATTACGTCAAAAAATGTCCCCCTCAGAAACACAATCGACCTGTTTTGGCGTTTTTGTTAAGTCTTTTTAGTTTCTGAGATATTCGGGGTGGCTCGTTTTCATTGGGACACCCTGTATGTATGATAAAACTCAAGTAATACCAATAACAACGTACAAAAACAAAAATTTTACTACTAGAGAAATATACTGAACCACATTGAAAACGTAACTAATTGTGCAAATACGAAACTATTGAATTAAAAAAAAAACAATTTTTTTGGAACGCTTATTAGGTTAGNACTGGGGGTGTTTTAAAAATTACGTCAAAAAATGTTCTTTTCAGAAAAAAAATCGACCTGTTTTGGCCCTTTTTGCAATTTTTTTTTAGATTGTGAGATATTCGGGTGGCTCTTTTTCATTGGGACAGTCTGTATGTATGATAATACTCAAGTAATACCGATAAAAACGTACAAAAATAAAAATTTTACTGCTAGAGAAATATACTGAACCACATTAAAGATGTAACTAACTGTACAAAAACAAATATTTTAAAAAAAAAGACACATTTTTTTTGAAACGATTATTAGGTTAAAAAGATATCAAATTTTGATAGAAAGTCCAATAGATGCATTTTTTATGTTGTTTAGTATAGAGAGAATTGAAGAAACAAATAGTTTTTTGGTGCAAGTACCTAAAATACAGTTTTTGCGGACGAATTATTTTCGCACAAGGCGAAGCCGTGTTGTTACAAACAAAAATTTTTTTTAAAGGATTTTAAAAGCATATTCAAACCTGTTTTAATTATTTGATACGATTTAGTTCCCGAAAATAGTGGAAAAAAATAAAAAATAGTTTGTAAAATAGGTATTTTAAACTCATAAAGGTTAGACTGTTTTTTGGTACGAATATTGATAACAAAAAATTGTTTAGTTTATTTATTTTGAAATATTAAAATGACAGTTATAATAATATACTGAACAACTAATCGAATAAAAAAGTCACTGTTTTCTTAATAACCATTTTGCGATGTAACTTACTATTAAAATAGGTTGTATACTATTGAAAATATACTAGGTGACACTAGAAATGTAACTTAAAAACAAATATATGTATAATAAAATCCAAATAACGTACAAAATCAAAGTTTGTGACAATAGAAATAATTAAATTTTGGTATAATATAATTAAAAGTTTTAAAATTGCATTTTTAATGTCACTCAGTATAGAGAGAATTGAAGAAATAAATAGTTTTTTTGGTGCAAGTACTTAAAATACAGTTTTTGCGGACGAATTATTTTCGCACAAGGCGAAGCCGAGTTGTTACAAACAAAATTT